GTTTGGCCTAATTTCCTGACAATAAGGTAGTTTAAATAAACACACTGCATCCATTTCTTTTGCTGTTGCAACCTATCAAAAACTTCTATATGCTCATCAGGATGGAGCCCAAGCCAGAAGGATTCTTGGCTATTGTCTTCTCCAAACTTTTGGAGAAGACTTTAATTAACTTTTGCTAATGTTAATTAAAAATGTCTAAGAATTTCAGTAAGTAGCACATTATTTGTCATTTAGTAATACCTATTTCAAGAAATGTCACTATGGTTGCATAAACATTTTATAGTAATTATCTGATTCTAGTAAAACCTAATGGAGCATTCAAAGCCTCCAAACTGCTTAGTGTGAAATTTAATTTGCTTTAATCAGCCCAAGAGTAGGGAAGCATGAGAGATTCTCCACGCGCGTTTCACAATATGTTGCAGTCTCATATTGCAAAGAAACCGTTGGGCCATCAAAAGCAAATATTTAATCTTCAGCAAGTATATACTTACTCATATTGTAGACCACAATCTCTAGTCGTGTCCACAGTCGACCTAAGGAATCCTGTTGACAGTAACTCTATATATGAAAATCTTTGAGAAATAATTAATTATACGACTGTCTCAAATCATGTACTTTTATGATACAAGTATCAGTACAAGTACTAGATTCAGTATCTAGTACTAGATTTTATATATAAATAAACATACGTGGAAGCAGAGTTAGATTTTTCTCCATGTTCAAGTAAAAACTTAATCTCTTAAAGTCCAGTTATAATTCCTTTTCTTGCTTCTCTCTTAGCCCAGAAAGTTTTAGTTCAGTTTATCGTATTCTCACCTTTAGCAATTAAGCTCCTGTCTATGAACATTTGAAAATGCATCTATGGAGCGGACATCCACAGCGAGTTGTTTATTCGGCACGTTGCACCATAAATATATCTCTGTGTTAGAATCTTTGTTGCATCCTTTGATTTCTTGGAGTCGGATGTGCTCTTTGGAAAGAGTAACTTGCACAGTCAGTCCTGTGGAGTATGTAGGTACAGTCAGACGAGGTGATTAGAACTCTCTAGTTTAAAAGTGTTTGCTTATTAAAAGGCATGTTTCCAGGCTTTTCCATCCCTCGGAATTGTAAAGGATTTTCTTCTTCGCCCTTGGAAGTCAGCAGCAGCAGATCTAGCCCACATCATTTGGACTCGATCAAGCTGAACTAAGTCTTTTCCAAACTGCCAGCTCTTACATAGTCCATGGAGAGCAACGTGGTTTTAACAGGTAGGAATGGGGCTGGAGCGTCCAGCTCCCGTCTGGCTCCGAGCGAGCCGCTCTGACCACGGCATCGTCTCTGCGTGTGCGCTCTTCTCCGGGCACCCCGTAGCCAGCATCAGCGTGGGACAGCGAGACGGCCTGGCCAAAGGTCGTTTGGGCTAGGAGAGCGTGTTCTAAGGAAGAAGTGGTTTGTCTGAGCCATCAGCTGGCTGATACCAGCTGCTCGCTCGCTTGTTCGGATAGCGAAGTGTCCTTGTGAGGGCGGACGACACTCAGGATCAGTACGTGTCTCCCTGAGTAATTGTACCCGCTTTTTGCAAGCGTTTCTGCGTTTTAACAGTGAGGACAATTTCGTCGGACTTAAGGGACTAGTGTTTCAAAGAGTGATTAGTTGTGCTATAACTGCCTACTATGGAACTGTAAATATGATGAAGGCCTCAGAAAGCTGTAAATTCTCACAGGTAGTCATGTGGAGCGTGAAAGATTAAAATCTTGTCTCTTAAAAACGAGCGGTTATTGGAAACAAGACTTTCATACCTTCAGCTTGTTTTTATTAAGTTTGTTGCTGTAACTTCGGTAACACTGCGGTGTGTTAGTTCATCAGAAGAGCAGCCCAGGACGGCTGTGCGCGGTGTGACAGCTCTGCCTCCCAGCAGACCGGGAAGGAGCAGAGCAGAGTTGTGTTTAAGTGAAGCTCAGCGCTTCTTTCCACCACAGGTGGAACAGTAAGTGCCGTCACTCGGGTTGTTAAGTGGGCACCTGTGTTGGCGTTTGCAGTCATGACAGTGAATGTCATGCACCAAAACTCCAGGGGCAGCTGATCCCCGGACAGGCTTCCCCCCTCGCTGCTGGGTGTTTGTCTGTGCTTTAATCTGATGACTGCTAATCATTAGCTAAAACTGGAGTTAATTTTTTGTCTTGTTTCAATGCCCAAAGTTGTAAAATAAATTTAATTTCTGTTTTCGTGCAGGGAAATTCTTTAGCGTGATCACTTTTTGTGTCTCAGAACACGTTACTACTGCTTTCTAATGTACTGAAAAAACCAGTCGCTTACAGTTGTAGACAAAGGAGTATTTCAGTTCTTCCTTTTCAGTGGAACTAATGAGATGAGGTCCTTTGTAAGTAAACTGAGCAGTCAGTTTGTCCAGTAGTGAATATCATCGTATTTACATTATTTTTAACTGTGTAATCATTTTTTTATATAATATATATGATTTTATTTTTTTGCACATCATAAAATTGTTTTCAGGCTATTTGAATATTAGAAATATATATGTCTAAAAAAGAGAAAGGAGACATTTTAGCCATTACAGCACAGACTAAGCCAGAAAAACCTATTTCAGAACATGACCATCCTGGGTTTATTAAAATTGATCAGCTTATTCTTGCATGTAATGATTCTCAATGATGCCGTGTGTTGCGTGATTTCATTATGGCAGACGCTAGAGGGGAAACTGAGTTTAAAACAAGAAACAAGGAAGAGTACAAGCTAACAAGAGCACAGTGAGAGTGAACTGGGCAGCCTGACAGATCTTTTCTTTCTATGCCAGTGCCCCGTCTGTGGTCACATTTTTGTAGGAAGAACGAGTGTGAAGTGGAGAGCAAGGTGGGTTTTCTGTCTGTTCATGGACAACGCGTGAATCATTGCTTTTATGGAATGGCAACATGTAAACGAATGAGAAGGTAAGAATTTGGCCATGACAGTAAAGAGGAGTCACCAGTGTCGATGTGATGGTGTTAGGAGAGCAGGCAGCACGGCGAGGAATGGTGTCAAGAGCTTTGGGGCGGGAAGGCTCCGTCTGCAGCGGTGACGAAGGGATGCTGGGCCACGTTGTATCGGTATTTGGGACCTGACAAGGTTAGAGCTCAGTTAAGCTTTTATTTATGGTGGTGCATAAAAACGGATGCGATAAAGATGTAATTGCAGAAGGAGCCTGTAAGATGCAGTCTGTTCTTGACGACAGCATTGCTTTTGAGCCTGTGCTGTCTTCCAAGGGAGCAACATCAGCTGAGAGACGCCGGGAGGGAGGATGCAGCAGCTTCGTTGTAGCCCTGCTAAGCTGGAGCCAACAGCCAGGTATCTAAAATGACAGCAGAGATTGTGAGTTTTGATCCTATTTTGAACAGAGGAGACTGCCTTCCCAGAGGGAAAGAGAGGCGGTGGTTCAGTTTGATTCGGTGGAGGTACTTGCACAGGAGCATGCTGTGAGTACAGCCTTGGACTCCCCTCTTCTCTACAAAATTAGGGAATGCTATTAGGGAAAGTCCTCTAAATGGCATGCAAAAGGAGTAGAGCAACTGCAGTCAGTCATAAAAACCAAAAAAAGGACAAACATCTCGGGAACAGGAAAGTGCCTGAAATAATGAGACTCTTTGATTAAAGTGTCTGTGATGCAGTGCAAGGCCCAGGAAAACACAAAAATCTGTCTTTTGTTTGTTTATAACAATCATGTGATTGCTTCCAACAAGAATTACTTGTCTTTTGATGTCACAGTAATTCTCCTGATATAATAAATTACAGAAGGAATGGGCCCAATGTTTTTATAAATTCCATTTTCATCAGTGGTGTTTTGACATTTTTATTTTGCTTTTATCAGATTTAGTTACTATTTCTATTTGATATTTTGTATCGTATTTTAATCTGCAATTTAGCTCTTACCTGTTCTTTGATAATCAGTCTCTTGGGTTAAATGTTAGGCAGACTGCATTTGTCAAATCAGGACTTTTCAAGAGAGTTGCTCACATAAAAGCTCATAGTTAAACAATTTTCTTTTAAACTTTCTTCTTTTTCAAACTGAAAATTTGTGCTTTCCTTTAAAAATTATGTGTTTGCAACTCCTCTAAGTTTGGGACACTTTTAAGATGTATTGAAATTCTGAGACCAAGTAATTTAGAAATCTGGAAATGATTGTGCGAGACTTTTGCACGTTGTTAAATTGGCTGAAGACATCTTGGGCACCGTCATCCTAAAAGTGCCTGTGCTGGTCCTCAGCTAAGCCGAGCAAAGGTGTTGTAGAGATGGAGACCACCGTAACCAAGTGCAAAGCTTCGGTGGGGATGTAAATCCACGCTCTGGCTCAGCGAGGGCCCCCCGTGCCCAGCTTTCAAAGCCAGGTGTTAAGTCCACGCTTTTTTATGTCTGTAGCCTGTCCTGTAGCAAACCGTGACGCCGTGCTGTCTGCGTCAAGGGTTGCAGAAGAGGTACGCAAGAGGTGCCGTTCTGGCTCCTGAGAAAACCCACCGCGGGAGGAGGGTCAGAAACGGCGACGTTGGCATCATGGGTTGGGCTGCAGCAGCTCTGCCCTGCGGCTGCGTCGGCCTGTGCCAGCCGCGTCCCTGGAAGTGACTTCTCGGGAGCAGAAAGTTCTCTGAAATGCAGCGTCATCATGTAACGCTGAGTAATTGACCTCTGACGGACTTTTTCTCTGTGAATTTATGACCAATGGCTTTGATCGTTAGAAGTCTGATTACCTCACTGGAACTTCCATCTCTCGGAATATGCCGGGAATTGGGGATCCAGGCCAGTGCCCGCCGTTCCCACCGCAGCCGTGTCCCCGCGCAGGGGCTGGCAGGCTTCTCCTGCCTCGGCGGGGGGTGCTTGGAGCTCTTCTCCTAACATCGACACAGGAACGTACCACCTAATAATCCCCTACACACCCCCCTTTCCCTCTCCTAATGCCTATCAGTAGAAAAAATAGGTGCTGCTGTTAATTGATTGCTGATCTTTCGTTTGGAATACTTGTGGGGGAAAAAGGGACGATGTCGGTGGAGGTTTCTGTAGGATGCAAGGATTGCAGTCAAGCGTGCATTGCAGAGATACGGTTTGGGGGTAAACGGTGCTTCAAGTTGTTTTTCTGGCTAGTGCGTGAAAAGCACCAAACCCAACACTTCGTTAAAGAGGTGCTCTGTTCTGTGGAATACCAAAGTAAACCGTAACTGTGGATCAGTAGCTAAAGGATTATTTCTTTGGCAGAATAATCTGTGAATTCTGCTGACTGAGGCCAGCTTCAGCAAAAATGCTTTAAAAGCACATTCTTTCTTGAAATCTGCTCTTTCAGTGAGTGAAGGCAGGTTGTCTTGACTCCTTTAAGCAACGCAGGAAAGAATATTGGGAGTGTTCAGACAAATAGTGATGTAACATACAACAGAAAGACGTATTGCAACAGAGACGCTGACGTTGCGCCTTTATGCTCCTGCTCACATCACGCAGCTTTCACAAACGACAGACTGGGAAGCCATGGGAAATGGTGGGCAGCTACGCCAGCAACAGTTCTCACTTTCATGTTTTCATGTAAGCCAAACTGCCCGTGATTGGCTATTAATTTGTGAAGTCATTTATCTCGGGGCAAGACTGTATTTACAGAACCTAACATAAAGACAGAATATTGTAGCTTGGGATTTTAAAATGTCACTGCACATGATGCCAGGATAAACAGAACAGAAATTAATGTCGGTTACACCTACTCTGATACTTCCCAAATTATTTTTTTACGTCGCCTCTTGGCATTATATTATTTTCCTATTCACCTAAAACAAACCTCTATCTAAGCTAAAGAAATACATGTCATCAAATAAAAATGTTCTTCATAATAATTGGCGTAATTAAATATTACAGCTAGCTCCGTGCCTGGCAGAGATTAAAGGGGATATTTTTTACGCTGTGGCAATGACCACTGTACTTTTCCAGTGGCTTCCTCCTCTATCTCTTCTTTATCTCCTCTTCTTTACCTTCTTTATCTCTTACCTCAGCTGTAAATTCAGAGGGGGGCCCCGCGTAGCGGTGCAGCTCGCTGGCACAAGCGCGCGTGTTGCTGTAGCACGGCTCACGGTTCGTGCATTCGCCCCAGCCCTTCCTCTCCAGCGCTGCACCCTGGGAGCAGAGACGGTATTCCGCCTTTCCCCACCTTTATCTCCATGGGCTTCTCTTCTCTTGAAGTTGTCCTGACCTTCTACCAAGAAAAGGTCAAGCCACGATACAATCGTGCTAAGGAAAGATTATTTTAGAACGATTTCCTCTGCTCTTGGGCAGAGACCTTGTTTTCCATTTTGAGCAATCTGTTTTCTGCCATAAAACTGACTATGTCTCTCTGTTGCTATAGAAATAATATTGGATTAAATGAGGGAACCAGTGCCCTGCTGTCGACAAATCTAATCTAAGTGTTAGTCTCTGGAGCTTGAATTTCACCACTGGGAAGAGGTATACACGTTTCTACAAATTATTTCTGTAACTTATGCATAAATGTCTTTATACGCCGAAACTGCTAGCTAAATTTCCCAAAGTGATGGCGTGGAGGTTAACAGGGTGTATGCCATGGGTTTACGCTGATCTCAGCCGAGCCTCCCCCCTCCCCTTCCCCCTGCATTTTCTTATTTGGAGCTCAGAATTTCCAGCTCTGTGCAGAGGAGGGTGGGCAGTGGCAGGAAAAGCACCTCTCAGCCGGGTTCCCATGCCCATGGACAACAACGTGAGCCTGGTTTAGTTAATTTTTGGGTTTATTTTTTAAAATCCAGGTCCTCCAAGCAACACGGGATGTCATTTGCCCTGTTTTTCCTAGGATTAGCGAGGATATTTTCCATACCTGGGAGAACGGCCCAATCTGACTGTGGTCCTGGTACACTGCTGTACCCCGCAAACGGATCTGCTGCCCGCTGCTTTCTAGTCTACACCGGGTATCGTACGCCCAGCATTCCTCAAGTTACTCAGAGACTTTGCTACAATACCGTTCTACCTTGTTAAACACAAGAGAGTTGTGGATTTTGACTTTATGCACCACATATCAAATCTCACATCTGTCTTTACATTTAGACATAATTTAGACATAGTACGTCTAAAAATGTGGTTTTCACTGTATTTTTCTGAAGCTGTAGAATCCTAGCAACAGCACTAAGGTGGTACTTCAGCCGGTATCTGTAGAGTCTGGAAAAGGAGTTGAAATCTTCACTAATAATGGTTACGAAGGGTCAGCGTTTGTCGACGTATTGGTCATAAGTATTTTGAAAAAATATGGAGGAAAAAAAATCTTTTGTCTCATAGTTACATTACAGGAGCCGCTCTAATACATTTCTATGTGTAATGTATGTGTAGTTACAATTTAAATTACGGGATGATTGATTTGCATAGACCTATGTGCAAATGTATGTTATAAATCTGATTTTGGAGTTCTCGTAAAATGCCAGTTACAACTTCTTGGTTAAAAAATGCAGTTGTTATTTGAGAAATGGGCCTGTGTTAGATATATGTTATGTATTGCAGGACAAAATATAATTTATAAATGTTCAATTAAATTCATGAATAATAAACATATCAATGGCCTCTGGTTAAAGATTACTCTTTAGGAAACTTTAAAAACCCTCTGTTGTCATTAGAATAAAATAACTGCTTTTTTTTTTTTTAAATCCTTTCTAAATTTTTTTCAGTGTTTATAAATTAATCTAGCAATTAGATAAACCTCCCTTGACAAGGACAAATTTCCAGCAACCAGAAGAGTAACTGTCTGGGTATGCCTATTAATATAAAACCAGAGATGGGGAAATACTACCAAAGTACACAATTACGTTTCTTTGAAATTAATGCCACGCTCATTAATAAAACAGACTCATCGTATAAACAAGTCACCACAAGACACTAATTACATTTTTGCTGTTAAAGTAGTTCTTGTAATGAAAAAGCCCCCCGACCTTAATTCCTTTGCACAGCCATAAAATACAACCCAGAAGCTGACCCGGTTTTCGCCCGTGTGCAGAGCTGTTACACCATCCAAGGTTGGTCTGTTCGCCACATCATCAGTCTGCAGAGGAAACGAATCGGCCTGCTCAAGGTTTTGGTGCAAACCAGCGACCGTTACACCGCCTGCTGCTACGTGATGCGTTGGTTCCTGCCCAGCGCCTTGCCTCAGGCACGCTCCTGACAGCGGCTGAGCGCTCGGTGCGGGAGGCAGAGGGCTGAGTAGACGTACCAGATTAAAGGGAAGGGGTGTGCTGGGTCCCTGCACGTTATCGTGATCTCATCTAATGCAGAATATTTTCTTACTATGCATAGTTCCATAAACAAAAGCTATCAGTGAGGGTAGGAAAAGAGAGCATGAGCACTAAACTGTAGGGCGTTTTTTTTCTATAGGAACTCAATGGAGAAAGGCCCAAGAGCGAGATTTAAAGAACGTTTTGAAGAACGCTGACCAGGACATCCCATTGGTCTTCGTCAGTGGAAATCATGATGTTGGCAATACTCCAACAAGAGAAACAATAGACGATTATTGCAAGAGCTGGGGAGATGACTACTTCAGCTTTTGGGTTGGAGGTGTTTTCTTTCTAGTGCTGAATTCTCAGCTATACTTCGATTCTTCCCAGTGCCCCGAGTTAAAGCAAGCCCAGGATGTGTGGCTCAACGAGCAACTGGCTGTCGCTGAGAAACACCAATGCAAGCATATAATAGTGTTTCAGCACATCCCTCTGTTTCTGAGAGAACCTGATGAAGACCACGATTATTTCAACTTGGAAAAATCAGTTCGTCAAGAGATAATGGAAAAGTTTCATCAAGCAGGTATTTTCTCAAATTTTCCTATTTTTGAGCTTTTCTTTCAAATTGTTAATGGCTGTGCTGCCAGACAAAATACATTTAACTTAAATGGCACTGTTTTCAAGGAACTTTAGATACTGCTTGTAAGCTTCATTGTTCCCCATAGGTCAAAATTATCAACTGAATCTAATCATCTGTAAAAAGTACCAAACAAAATTTAAAACTTTGAGTGAAAAGTAAAAAACTAACAGTGAAAAACTTTGAAATAAATAGCAAGGATTCCATTTTGCAAGTACCGATAGATGTAAGTCAACCCGAGTTTTTCCTGCCTAAGGAGGGAAAGATCAGGTATTGCCATAGGAGAAAAATACAGAATTTATGTTTTACATAAAACATGGAAACAGAATTCACAATTACCTTGGAGGTTGTTTGCTCCCACTCTGAGCCAATTTTAAACCAAGAGTGTAATGCATTCCAGATTTATTCAGTGTCAAAAAGAGTCTTGCTCTGTGAAGATCAATCCTTTGCATATCCATTACTAAGAGGGGCCGTTTCTGGGGTGGCCCCTAAGCAAGTATGCTGTACCAAATCCCCTGGCTTGCTTTGGTGACACTTGAATGCCATGGGGACAGGCGCAGTACAAGCTACTCCCCTGTGCTATTCCCATCGTTGCCCGTTAACTGCCTTCACGTTCCTGGGGTGTGCGAGGCCCTCAAAATTTCCTGCCAGCCTGCCATCGCTGCATCGGGGTGTCATTTTCTCTGTAAGAGAGCATGTTCTTTGGAGCAATGCAAATTGTTTATGATATTGTTCCTCATTTACTATATAATTGTTAAGCCTGGACTCATCCAAACCCAGCCTAATTTCCAAGCTCTGTATCTCTGCCTGTTTCCAATCAGTGGGGCCAAAATTCGCAGCTCCCTGGGGGCTCTCTGGGGACTGACAGATTTGCAGATTCGAGTCTCCATAAGGAGACATGCTGAGAATGCCTCCTAATATCTTTTTTTCATTTTTGTGCTACTGTTAATGTAGTGGGAGGTATTGCTATTGGAAAGCTGGGCAGCTAAAGGACTGCTCGTGTACTGTTGGCTAAAAACACATCCTGGTTCATTGGAGAGCTTGTTAGCAGGACGACATTGCCATGCAGGTGTTTTCCAGTAAATGAGCATTAATGTGGAAACCGAAGCAGTTCTGCTCTAGAGTTTTCTGTCATCCAGATGGTTTACTGGGAATATAATTAAGAGGTAAAAGAAATTATGCAAAATGTTATCATTGTTACGTTATCATGTTTCTTAGAGGGTATTTCAGACTGATTCTCCTAACGTGCGTCCAGAGGCTTCACCAAAAGTTGGGTAGGCTTCAGAGGATGGGGGAGAGGGAGAGAGAATGGGAAGCCAGCAATACAAGACAACTGCGGAAGAAGTTCCCGAAACCCTTTCTGTGCCAACATCCTATTTGTACCTTCCTGCCATCACTTCCCATTGTGTCCCTCGTTCCCATCCCTAAAAATCCTCCCAAAATGACGTGTTGTTTGGTTCCTTCATGAATATGTTAAAACAGCAAGCAAAAGATCAGTGTTTTATACAATAAGTAAATGAGTCAATAGGTAGTATTCGCAACCCAATAATCAAATGTTTTGCTAATTAAATTAATACAGGGAGCAAGCAGTTCAACGTAACTCAGACTGCGGAGAAAAATTAGCTGAATCAAAAGCTGGCTCAGAGTTTCCTTAGGAACGGGCGCAATCTGTTTCCATTTTATTATTCAGTTGACAGACGGGCTTTGTAAGACCACAGGATGTTATCAGGGGATTGCAAACAGGCAGGTACATGGTAGGAAAGATGCACAGATACGCAATGACACCACTTACTTTCTGGCTCTCTGCTTTGCCAAGGAATAATTGATTTCAGCATATCATTAGACATGAAATTGGGTTTCCCCCAGTTCACTTCATAGATTCCTGGAGGATTAAAACACAGAATATTGCTAATGAAATGCCAATCTACTTTGCACTTTTGTGTATGTTTTTCTAATTATGACTTGCAGTTTAAGAAGGGTTGCCCCTTATAGCACTTAGTTTAGAAATTTGGTATAAATATTTATTCTGGAAAAAGAAAGTAAGTCTGCCTTTGTAATGAGTCCACCAGGCTGCTGCTGTTCTCCTTCCCCCGACCTGTCACCAGCCCATCTTTCCTTCTGCTCTCGCTCTCCAATTCAGTGTTTCCAACCACTCCGAAGGTTTATTGTGTAATTATGAAACATTTCAGTTTAAGGTGCACGTTTGAGGGGTTGCTGTGTTTGGCAATGCGATGTTATCAGATGGGCATTTTATTTCAGTTGTTGATAACCCAGGATCAGACCTGGAACTATCCCAGTTTTCCTGGTTATACTTTCTCTAGAAGTGTCAAACACAGAGCCATGACTCACCTGGTTAGAGAGACCAGAAAGGAGGGACAAGCTGGTAATTCAGGTCTTTCTGTGAACAAAGAAATTCATATGGGCATGCGTAGGAAATCATCAGATACTTAAAGTATGGTGGTACTGCACAGGTGCTTTAAAGTGAGGTATGCGACTTCAGAAAATTATTATTTTAAAATTCAGAACCCAGATCTTCTGTAGTTATTCTCTTTTAATCACTTACACATTACATAATGTTTTCAGTTTAAGTATCCGCTCATTACAAGCAGAGATAACAGACTAGCTGTAGAGGCTACATCTGGTATGAAATACTGAATTACATTTCTCACATTAGAAGTGTCCTTAACAGTTGGGCTAATTAAAGATAAAATCATGTCCTTATGATAAATATTTATAAATTGAAAATCTGGCACTTGTAAATATGTATTACTACTATGCAAAGTTAAACTATACTTGTAAGCTGCAAGTCTAAGAAATCCTTCTAGCCTGCTTTTTTTTAAAATGCATTATAACAGATATTGTCCTTGAAAAAGTGATTTCAGTGACGGTGAAAAATCAACTCAGTTGAGAACAGAGTTTATCATTTAAGTGAAAACTTCTGAAAGTTTAGCTTCAGTTGTCAAAGCTCTGTCTCCTCTACATGCAGAAGGTAAATACTGGAAAACCTGTGTGCAAGAATGGTGCACGCACCACCCTGACGTTCTCATCGGTGAGATCTGCTGCGTGGAACACATATGCGGCCTTAAGGATTTTATAGTGCTGAGATAAACAGGTTTGCTCATAGCTTTCTAGGGAAAATAAAGGAGTAGTAGTGGCCTAGCCAAAAATCTGATCTGCATGTCATGTGTTCTTGATAAATATAAGTAATAAATTAATTTCTAAATTGAGCAGTTTATGTAATAGAAGACATACTTTTTTCTTACATATCTCATTCCAGTATAATTTTCCTAGGATGTTAAAGATTTTTTTTTTCTATGACCTGAAAAGTAAGGGAATTCTTGTTGAGCTAGAGACAATCTTTTAAAGACTTTTTGTCCTGAGAACCATCACTGACGCGCTCAAATTACTTACTTACATTACTTAACACAATATAGTAATAATTGTTTCTTAATGGCCCTAATGAACTAAAACATTGAAGCAAATGTCTGAACTTCTTTAAGAGCTCTGCTGAATAAAACCTAAATTAATAGCTGGGTTTTCACCAACGAAGTTGAGAAGAGACTTTTTGCTTCAGAGTGAGATGAAGAGAATAGGTGGTCTGTCCAGGTGAGAGGTTTTGCATCCGAGAGAGAATCACTAGATAACAGATAAAAAAATATAGAAGGAAAATCCCTGCAGTCTCCACCTTTTTTAGTTAAAAAGTTTTAAGTTCATCTAAATGTCTTCAATTTTTCAGATGTGGTTAAATACTTGATTTGTACATACAGGGGAAAAAAAATAACCTACCTTCATTAAATGGCATCTTTTTTCACTCTGTGATTGTAGGTGCTGTAACTTCTAACACCTTTACTCATTAAAGGAGTGTGATACCTACATTCTCCTCTTAGAAAGGTCATGGCAGGAGAGCAGTATTCAAGGAAGAAGCAGCTTCCTGAATATCCAGAGCCGAGAGATATGTGAGCACAAAATTAAAGCATGGAGTGCTGAAAGCTGTTGTTTCTAAAATTTACCAGACAACATATGCTATGTTTCATTATTTTCTTTGTTGTGTAATCAAAGTTGACAAGGGAGTAATATTTTCTTCTTCCTGCAATTGAGACCTTGATTTTGGCAAAGCCCATACACTGAGTGAGTAATCTCAGTGCTTGCTTTTATGTCGCTATTTTTTGTCAGTATTTAAGATAATTTAGATACTCTCAACCTCAGTGATTTAGATCAGCCTCCTTCCACCTTGAAATTATGTGCTCATGGTACAGGTAGAGTGACCAAATTTGATATCTTCTACGTCCCTGTGTAAGAACAGTGGTTTTTAAGACCATTCTGCAGGTATGATAATGTAATCTGCCATGGAGATACACGTAGACTTTTTTCAGAAATTCAGCAGCAAGTACAAAATACATTCATTTAGTATAGTCTGTAATGACATCAAGCAATATTTGTTCTTAGATAAATTTTTGAAATCTGGTTGAGAAAAACTTCTGTTTGATCCTTAGAGCACACGGCAAACCAGGATTGTTTGGGGTTTGTGTCGGGTCTCTGAGAAAGCTTCACTTTCAGGTGGAAAAAGCCGCAAACCCAGGAAATAAATTCCACTGAAAGGCATTCACAAAAATTAACTTGAAGCCCAGAGTGACGTCCTACCGACAGCACCTCTAAAGCTTGTTCACACCAGCACTCAGGAATCACCCTCTGGCTGTGCCTGTTGTTTCTCTGATTACAGAGGAAGAAGTGAGCTGAAGGATTTCTCTACATGGCTCTGTTCAGTGTTGTCCTATGACATAGGTGTATTTGCAAACCCATATCTTGCCTCCCACGTACACAGACCCACTGACCACCAGTTGCATCCAGCTCTGGATTCCTTAGTCTACAAAGTAATTTTAAGGAAGAGTTTGCCTGCAAGTTTGCAGGATTGTGTCTGCAAACAACTTACATGGGATATTTTTATT